ACACTGCTTCCCAAGTGTGCAGTGGTCAGGGGGCCTGGCTTGTTCCAAACCTCAAAACTGGAACATCCAAAGGAAATGATGGATTACATACCACTTGGGAAATCTGTGAATTTTTTTTCTCATTCTTAGACTGTTAGTAAGATTTGAGTAATAGAAATCTCAGGGGCATATTTTGAAGAAAGAACATGGAATAAACAAATTCTATGCTGCCAATTCAGAACAAAATCAGATACAACTAAGTGGAGGTTAAAGTGGCCACTGTCTCTAAAAATAAAGCATAAAAGGACAGACAAAAGAAGGAGTGAGTTAGTCCAATGCTTCTTTGAGTAAAAACAAGTGACTGATGCCCCCAGACATCCAGGCCATTTAAGTTTCCCAGATTGCAAGCTACTAAAAGAAAAATCAGTATTCTCACACAGCAATATGAATGACTCTTATGGTCATACTGTTAAGCAAAATAAGACAGACGCCAAATGAGCACGTACTACATGCTTCCATTTAAATGAAGGTCCAAAAAGGGCATAAGGGAACTTACATCATGATGGAAACGGTAGAGATCTTGATTTGAGTAGCAGTTACATGAATGTATATATTTATCAAATGCATTAAACCATTTAAGATCTTAACAATTTAATGAATGCAAAATATAATGCAATTTAAACACATAGAAGTTTCCTGCAATGAGTACTCTGGGGGCTGGAAGGGGAGTGGGAAAAAATAGAAAACAAATGCCTTCACAGCAGGATCTCTCAGAACCTTTAACATGCTTCTGTGCACTGCTCAGTGGTAAAGAATCTGCCTGCAACGTGGGAGACCCAGGTTTGATCCTGGGTCAGGAAGATTCCCTGGAGGAGAAAATGGCAACCCACTCCAGTATTCTTGCCTGGAGAATCCCATGGACAGAGGAGCCTTGTGGGCTACAGTCCATAGACTTGCAAAGAGTCAGACCCATCCAAAGTGACTTAGCCCATGCACTGTAAATTCCTAAGATGAGGCTACAGGATACTGTATGTTCCAGACTCAATTGCTCAAAGAACTTTATTTTTTCTTACATATATTAACATTAATAAGGCACTAATATTTCAGAACCCAGTAACTTTAGCCTGGAAAAATTCAAACAAGGGCTATGAATACACTGTCAGTCACTGAAAACAAAAAATCAACATTTTTCAGTGAATCCCCCAGAATTAAACTAGTTGCAAAACGCACACTTAGACAAAGTCCAATTAAGTACTGGAGTAATTTGCCCAAAGTAATAAATTTCATTTTTATATTAGTGACCTCCAATTACTTCTGGCAATAATTAGAGAGTAAACCCTATCTTTACTACCTAAAAATAGTATCTATTGAAGAACTCCAAGTTAGTAGCAAGAAAGCATTCATCGATATAGACAATGCTTATCTTTCTGTCTCTGTAAAACATGCAAGTCATCCTGAAGTGGCATAAAGGCACTGAAACACAAGTTTAAAAATGGAAGTCTTCGGTTGGGCTCCTCAGGAACCCTTGTGTGTAGATTCACTAGGGAAAGCCCCAGACCAACAGCTGTAGGGAAGCAGGGCCAGACAGGGGGAGGGTTTGAACTGTGATGCAGCCACAACAACGGTGGGGCACTCTGGAACAGGGGAGGCCATTAAGGGCTGTCCAGCCTTGAGGCAAGAGGGTCAGACTTTTATACCCTCACAACAGACCAATCACTGTTTGCTGGCTGCCCCAGGAGAGGGGCACAGCTATGGACGAGGTGGCCTCCTTGAGAGTAATTTTCACAGCTGAGAGCTGACAGCTACCAACACTTCTGGCAGCACACAGAGTGAGAGCCTTAGTCCTGAAGGGAAAATGAGTCACACATCACAGTGTTCACAACAGCCGCCAGGGCGCACCCTTTCCACCAGGCCCAAAGGGGAGTCTGATCTGCAAGAAACCATCCTGACCAAGTCTAAATCTCGTGCGACTAATAAACAATCTCTGTTTAAGTACCAGGAGCCAAGGATTGAGATTTCTGCCCACACTGTTTTGTCCTTGACAAGAATTCATGAAACCACAATAGAAACTACAAATTATCTCAGATGGTTACTAACAGAATTCCCTCATAGTATAAACTCTATATCAAGAAACTCACATGACTACCTTTACCATGACTGGAAGCCTAACTTTTTTCAGGTAGAATAATGGTCTGAGAACATCAGCTTTCTTTAAGACTGATAACACAGCACTCAGTATAACAAGATTTAGCATCAAACAGCTTTAGAGTCACTTTCCAACACTAAAGTGTTTTTTTTTTAATATATCATATTCTCCTTTGCCTTTCTTTTCATTTGTGATTTTCAAAGTGATTCAATTTTATACTTTAATTTTTAAATTGATGTATAATTGATGTACAATGTTGTGTTAGTTTCTGATGTACAGCAAAGTGATTCTGTTATATATATATACACATATGCATACACATACATATATACATACATATATATGTATGTAAATATATATTCTCTTTCATATTATTTTCCATCATGGTTTATTATATGATATTAAATATAGTTCCTTATGCTACACAGTAGGACCTTGTTGCTTCCTTTGCCTTTTATAAGCAAAATTAATTTAGTATCCCGTTGGACAAAACAATGAGAAAGGAGTTAGAATTTTCTCCCTGAATCAGTTCATTTATTCCTTAATAATGCATCTACCAAGGACATCCCATTAGGGGACATTATGTTCGGTACTGAAGGTACAGAGATGAATAAGATGTTCACCATCTAATAAAGACGACAGACATGTAAACAAATGACTATAAATCATTCATTCGTTCCACGTCGTTCCACAAACACATCTAAGCACCAACTATTTATACCATGAATAACAAAAACATAGTCTTTGCCCTTCCAGCGCTTGCATGCAATGTGAGACATGTTCAAATAGAAGGTGCTATAGACTCTGCCTCCATGGGGAAAGAATACCATGGAAAGCTTTGTAACAGGAAGATAAACAACAATAGTTACAATAGCAACTAACCTTTACTGAGGGTGTAAAATGTTCCAGGCAATTACATAAATCTCAACCCTCACATCAATCCTGGGAGGTAGGTTCACAGAGGACAGAACATTGGAACTGAACCTTGAAAGCTGAGTAGCAGTTTGCAAAATGGACACAAAAGTGGTGGGGGGAGTATTCCAGACACAGTGAACTAGAGTAAAAATGCTTAAAAATCATCAGAAATTGACGAACTCATCTGCATGTAGGCTGCTGGTGGGAGGCGAACAAGAGTCCCAGCCCGAAAAGTGGGAGCAGTGAGGGATGGGCACAGACAGGAGCCACGTGCCCTATGGAGACTGAAGGAATGTTGGCACAAAGTGCCATGTTTAGTAATATCACTGAGAATATTAGTAAGAATTAAAATGGCTAACATTCTTCCAGAGCAGCCAGACATAGGCTAAATATTTCTACTCCTTATCACATTTTAGTTTTATTACAATCAAATGAAGCAACTTGACTGTCTGGGGTTCTACTCCTTGTGAGTAACAGCTGTGGTTCAAGCCTGGGGAACTCTGATTCAAAAGCCCGTGCTCTCTCGGCAGCTGGCTCTCCAACACGTGGCAATCACCCCCCACCCCACCCCACCCCACCCCTACCAGGGAAGCAGAGGAGTCCGGGAAGACAGGGAGGGCAGACAGGGGTGGCTTCCTGCTCCAGCCCAGGAGACAATGAGAAAGTGAAAGTGTTCATCGCTCAGTCCTGTCTGACTGTTTGAGACCCCAGGGACTGTGGCCCGCCAGGATCCACTGTCCATGGGATTCTCCAGGCAAGAATACAGGAGGGGGTTGCCATTTCCTCCTCCAGGGACTCTTCCTCACCCAAGTATTGAACCCCAGTCTCCCACATTGCAGGCAGATCCCTTACTGTCTGAGCTACCAGGGCAGCCCAGGAGAACATGATACAGCCTTTAATCAAAGAAGAGAAGTTTGTAGGCTGGAGAAGAGATTTGAGAAATATGTACACAGAGGTGGCCCTGGAGACTTCTTAAGATCAGGCAGTGAAAAGGAGGGAAGAGATGTGGAAAACAGCCAGTTGTCTGAGAGATGGTGATTCTTTAACCAAGTGGAAGGATGGAAATATGCACGAAGAGGTGGGGGCAGAATGGGAGGGGGGAAATGAAGATGCTCAGGTCAACGTCTCCCAGGCTAGAGATAAAAGGACCTGCTGGGCAACTAAATATCTGAGGCAAATGTACCATGACGGTACCGATTTGGCCAAAAACATGCTGAAGGAATGAGAGAGGAGGTGTATTTGACTAAGGAAAACGTAAAGAATAAAAAGATGAACAGAAACCTAGAAAACCTCAACTATTCAGGAAAGAATCCATTTTCCCATCTGTAAAAATAAGATACATACACAGAGATTCCTGACATATCTACCTTCTTTAAAAATCTGAGAAGGGGCTTTCTTACACATAAAGGTGACTGCCGTTAGTGTTATCTCTGGAAAAACTTATTCCCTTCCCCATGTGAGGTATTGGATTACTTCTAGGGGGTATATTTCTGCTGAAGAAAATAAGCTAGTTGAGTGGTGTGTTTAAAATTTTGAAGAAAAAAAAATAGTAGTAATAGCTTCTCAGCGTTATTACCAAAAATCCTCTAACCATTCTGAGCCCAAATCGCGGATGTCAGTAATTCCACTTCAGGAATAAGCTCTCTGCCTCGAAGCACCAGCGCTCCAAGGAAATACCATTCTCAGGCTTTATTTACATTCTCTCTTCACCCTTCACCCTAAATAATATCACAGTGGGGCTTACCTGCCTTAGGAATCTGTACCAAAGGCGATTTCTCCTGTTTCTCTCATTAAAAAAAAAAAAAAGGGAAAAGTTCCCACTGTTAATATGTAGCAAATGAAAAAAAAAACCACCAGCCCTCCTGGTCCGCCCTCCCTGACTGTTGCTACCTTGCAGTTTCTGACACATAGCTAGAGGGAGGGCCGCCGGAGTGAACCGGGCGGCGGTGGGGCCAAGCCCCTTGCCGGGGAAGCAGGCGTCCCTGGGGTGGGCGGCTCTGCCCACGGGTACCGCGCGATGCGGTCCGCGCGGCTCTGAGCGGCCCGGGGACCATGTCTCCGCGCGCCCGGCCCCGCGCGCCCCGCGGGAGGGAGGGAGCACCCAGCCGGGCGGGGGCAGAGGGAGCCGCCGCGGACCTGGCAACGCTGGCACTGGCTCGACTCTCCCAGACAGTTTTGAAGTCAGCAAAACAGAAATCGAATTACTATGCTGCTGGCAGTGGCCGCTTGGGGAGAAGGGGCTCTCTCTGCCGGCTTGATCACCAGGAGAGATGCAGCGAGTCACAGATGAGCCAAGCGTGTCTCCCGGGCGGACCCTGAGGACCCGTGTAAGTTGCCCTGCTCACCGGCTTGCTTTATTTTACGGCTGTGTCATTTTCTTTCTGACTTGAAAGGCTGCTTGGCCGCCATGGAATTGTTTCGATGAGAATTCCCAGTGTGGAAAGTTGTCTGCTGATCCTTAAGACTTTTTTTTTCTTTTCTTTGATTAACTAAGCCACAGAATACAAGCTGAAATTCCTGACCGGCAGCCGGGGCAATGCAGCCCAAGACTGACAACTCTAACCCAAAGTACCACTATACTTACTACGGAATTAACCCTGGATGTGTTTTTAATAGCCTGCCGTACTATAGGCTGCCTGCAGCCCCACTGTTTGGGATCGAATGCTATTTTAATGCTGCTGTGGCGAAACTAGTATGATCAGTGTAACCAACGGAGTGAGATAGAGCTAAATGACAGTCCTGGTAGTTAACAAAACTTTTCCTTTTTTTTTTTTTTTGGCCAGGATCACATTTTTCTCCCCGACTCCTTAAAACTCAGCAACCTCTCTCTTAAAAGTCCATGCTGCTTTTTTGATCTTGCTTTGGAGAGAAAAAAAGAAAAGAAGCTAGACAGAGGACTCCACTGAAATTGTGAAGGAAAGCACTATAAAGAAGCCGCCGCAGTTCCTTAGCTACTATTGTAATAATGGAAGAAGAAACGCTAACCGATGGAGCCCAGCACAGACGCCAGCCTCGCGGTGACAGAGCTTGGGGACATAATGCTGAATGGTGACCAGAGCCTGTAACTGGTGAGGTTTTTCTTACACTTCATCTGCTACAAGTTCCGGCTTAGAAATGGATATTCTCTGTGAAGAAAACACTTCTTTGAGCTCAACTACGAACTCCTTAATGCAATTGCATGCTGACACAAGGCTCTACAATCCTGACTTTAACTCCAGAGAAGCTAACACTTCGGATGCATTTAACTGGACCGTGGACTCGGAAAATCGAACCAACCTTTCCTGTGAGAGCTGTCTCTCACCACCCTGCTTCTCCTTACTTCATCTCCAGGAAAAGAACTGGTCTGCTCTGTTGACAGCGGTAGTAATTATACTAACCATTGCCGGAAACATACTCGTCATCATGGCAGTGTCCCTAGAGAAAAAGCTGCAGAATGCCACCAACTATTTCCTGATGTCACTCGCCATAGCCGATATGCTGCTGGGTTTCCTGGTCATGCCCGTGTCCATGTTAACCATCCTCTATGGTGAGTGGCATTTGCTTCCCAGCTGTACCCACACGGCTAACAAAATGCGTGCATGTCATTAGCAGATGAGTCCGGGCTCAGGGGACCAACTAAGCGTAAGGCTTTGTTTATGGAGGAGGGGCTACCACGTTACACTACTTAAATTTTAAAATGAGATCACATTTTAAAAGATCAGACAACCTATACTCTGTGATCACTGGAGAGTTTTGTGCTTTGAAACATATACAGTTTACGTGGGGAGATAAAGTGTTGTGCTTAAAAGCACATACATTTTATGTAGAATTATAAAGGTCCCAAGACAGTCCTAAAGCAATAGCATCTGTCATATCTGAATCCACTTGGTTTTCAAGCCTTTATATTCCCAACCAAATATCCCAGCCTTCAAGACAGGCCAGTTTGATCTTGGTCACACTGTTTTCAGCACTTCTAATGGAGTGGTAAAACCTTCCCAGTTCCCTTGGAACATTTACAGAGAGAACATTAGTGGTGCACTGGGTTTAATGTTAAAATATGCAGCGTCTCCATTAGAATAAATGACTTACACTAGTTTTAATTGTTCCCTGCCTGAAGAAGCATTAATTTGGAGGTGTGCCTTTGAATTCTACCCCTCAGCTCTTTAAAAATGCATGTGCATAAACTCCTCCCGAATTGTTTGGAGGGTGGGAAACACATGGGAAGAGATTCATCTTGCTTTCTTCTCAGTGGAGTTTGAAAGAGTCAAACCTCTCAGCAAGTCAGCAAACACTGGGACGGCTTCAGCGGGAAGCAGAATGTGATATTCTTTCCAAATTATGAGTAATACAGCCAGATTTCTCCCTTTAAAAGTGGAAGAGGAGGGGAGACTATTGAGATTGCCGACACGGCACGCCAGCCCGTCACGCAGAGCTAGAAACAGGTTATGGGCATTTTCAGAAGGGATTTTTCTGGCTATGTCTTAAGAGCTAAAATATGTGTATCAATCCATGCCCAAGGAGTATGGAGGAGGAAGGAGGTGAGCAAGGGAGCGTGGGCGTCGGGTTTGCACAGGGTCCACAGCGCTCCTTGGAAGGCCAGCCCCCGCTTGACGACTCAAAATGTCACACAAGGATATCTGATTAAATTCTCTTGTCATTTCCCAGACATCCGGGAGAGGTTCCCGCTTCCTAAAACCCTGCCACGTGGAAGGCAAACTCCAGGAGTGGGAGATGGGCCCAGAGGGCCCATCCGGGAACCCAAGCCCGGGTGGGAGGCGGGGAGGGGGGGGTCCCTAGAGCGGCAAGTGGGGCTGGCAGCCGGCAGCCAGGTTAGTAAGTCGAGTCCAGCCGGGCGCTGCCGGCTCGGGGTGCAACGGCGCCCCCTGGTGGCCGCGGCTCTGTGCGTAGTTGATCCCCGTCGAGAGACGCGCCTCTCCCTTGGCTGGTCCCCAGGACTCCGCAGAAATATCCCCTCCTTATCCTCACCACGGAAACCTAGACTACGGTCCGCCGCTGCTTCCTTACAGAGACAACTCCTCCCATGGTCAGCATCAGTTCCGACCAGGCAGACGGTGGCTTCCTCCCAGGCACTGGGCTCTCCTTGAAGCTCAAGCTCTCTGCACGAAGCATGAAAGGCACCAAGTCAGACTTGTCTCCTGCACTTTTACTTTTCTAAACATCAGTGGTGGCATCTTGGTAGAGATGGTTTGTGAACAGAGAGTTTGTTCAGCTTTGTGGGTCCAGAGCATGGGGAAAGATGGTCTTCATAATTTTCCTTCTTAACATGTGCGCAGATCTAACACCATGGCTTAGATTGTCATCAAAACTAATTAAGGTTATATAACCGTTTGATCTCCCTCTAAAACAAACAGATACAGGAGACTGTGTGTTCCTCAGGCATACCCTATCTTTTTAATATAGCAGGTGACTTCCTGCCCTGCATCTCACAGTGGATCCTTTGGGTAGCTTTAAGTCAATTTAAAGTTGAGGTCCAACTTCCGCCCACCCTCCTGGGTATCAGGACCCCCAGAAAAGCTGTCCAGCTGATTCTAATGTGCACCCCCAGGGTGAGAACCACTGTCCCAGGCTGTGGTTGCCCAAGTGTGGTTCTTGGATGGGTAGCATCAGTACCAGCTGGGAAATTGTTAGAAATGCAATTCTTCCTGCCCCACTGCAGATGCATAGAATAAGAACACCTGGAGGTGGGCTCCAGTGGCTCATTTTAAGAAACCACCTCAAAGATTCTGAGGCTCCTTCAAGTTTAAGCATCACTTCCCTGAAACAGTTCTTAGAATACTATGCTTTTCTTCACCGTTGTCTTCATCCTCCTGCCCCGCCTCTCATCCCCCCAGTTTGAGTTTAATCCCCAAAGCATTGTTAGGGAAGCTTCATTTTCATGAAGGCATATACCAGTCTGTGGAGAAGGGCATGGCAACCCACTCCAGTGTTCTTGCCTGGAGAATCCCCTGGAGAGAGGGGCCTGGTGGGCTGTAGTCCATGGGGTCTCACAGAGCCGGACACAACTGAAGAAACTTAGCATGCACACATGCCCAATCTGGATTTTTAATCATTTCTTCATTCACACCAATAGCAGTTTTGGCAGACTACTAAATGCCATCACTGTGCAAGACTCAGCAATTGTAATAATGGCTAAGAGATGATCTAACCTCAGGGAACCTACAGTCTGAAAAAAAGTCAGTCAATAAATAAGTAGCTAATAAGATTCTTTGACCAGGCTGCCCTGTCCATGGTATTCCCCAGGGTTCTTTGATAGAGGAACCCAAAGTACATCATAACTCCCAACCTAAGTCATTAAAAAAAAAAAGAAAAGTAGATATTGTTAGGTAGAGGAGACAGAAGGAGAGAAACCCTGAAGAGACACAGCCTGAGTTTACAACACACCAGCATGATTCCAGCCATACGTTTTCAAATCGTGCGTTCAACCAGTGCAGTCTTGCTCTGCTTAAGTACAGTTGACATCAGGCTGCTTTGAAGTACTGAAAATATCTCGTGTTGCCCTTTGCTGTTAACCATGCCTTTTCCCAGGATGAAAACTATTCAAGCAGAGTAAATTTCATACGCCAGAGAAGTTCAAGGTCACTCACGAATGATAACCTTCTGCATCCCAGGGTACCGGTGGCCTCTGCCCAGCAAGCTGTGCGCTGTTTGGATTTACCTGGATGTACTCTTCTCCACCGCCTCCATCATGCATCTCTGTGCCATATCCCTGGACCGCTATGTTGCCATTCAGAACCCCATCCATCACAGCCGGTTCAACTCCAGAACCAAGGCGTTTCTGAAAATAATTGCTGTTTGGACTATATCAGTGGGTAAGTGGAATAGTATTTCAGACTCTCATTTCAAATGACAGTTCATGCCTTCTAAGTAGACTTCTGTTGTGGTTTTTTGTTTTTGCGCTGAACCCTGACATTCTCAATCAATTGTTCTATTTGCTGCAAGATATGTTATAGCATAGTAATTCTTAGCTTTGCTTTAGAAAAGAAAAATCTGTTAATGTCACTGACAGACAATATAAATTTGTATTGTTTTGCACAAGTAAGAATATACATATACACCGACAGACTCAAAACTGAGAATAACTGTGCTATGTGTGTGTTCAGCACTAAGTCATGTCCAACTCTTTTGCAACCCCATGGAATGTAGTTTGCCAGGCTCTTCTGTCCATGGGATTTCCCAGACAAGAATAATGGAGTGAGTTGCTATTTTCTTCTCCAAGGAGATCTTCCCAACCCAGGTACTGAACCTACGTCTCCTGCATCGCAGGCAGATTCTTTACCACTGAGTCACCAGGGAAGCAACTGTGCTATAGCCATCTTCAAACACTTTTCCCATCTTACACTTTCAAATTCACAAAGTTCAAGTGTCTGAATTTCTAAATCTTGAGTTTCCCAGAGACCTCAATGTTTATAATCACTGGACTTGTGGTCAGTGTAAGAAAACAGAGCCCAATACTGGAGAATGCACAGTTTCTGGGGGTAGAAAAAGGTACCAGGTACCATAACTCAGAGGGAGAGGTAAGGGCGACAGAGGGTGGCCAGACTTAGTCAAAGAGAACCCAGCACCTCTGTAACCCTCCCTCATCCTGTTACGATACAACATGCCAGAAGATTTCAACCCACTTCACTTAGGTTGATTACAGACCTTCACGTGTTGCCAGCATTGATTTTCTGCCAGACACCTAACAGTCAGGAAAGCCCAGATAGCGGAAGCCAGAGACACCTCCCAGGCAGCAAAGTGCCTTGCACTTGTCACCTCAGCTGGCTTGGTTCCTAACCAAAGACTCCCTGGGATTTTAATGTTTTAAAGTTGCCACGTGGAAACCACAATCCCACCAGGGCCACGTGGCTGCCGGTGTCTACTCACGTGAGAAACTATGGGGTTTGTTGGCAGGCTTGACATCAAGGCTTGTGTGAGTCCAGGCACAGTTTTGTAATGATAAAACATGCAAAGAAATTACTGTCGAGTCACTCGGTCATGTCCAACTCTTTGCGGTCCCATGACTATAGCCCGCCAGGCTCAAGACATTTCCCAGGCAAGAATACTGGAGTGGTTGTCATTTCCTTCTCCAGGCAATCATCCCAACCCAGGGATCAGATCCGAGTCTCCTGTGTCTCCTACATTGGCGGGCAGATTCTTTACACAGGGATAGCAAGCACAATAATAGGATAGCTTGTGTTTTTCAGGTCCTATGGTTTGCCTTGCTGTTAAATACATCATCTGCAGAGTAGGTAACTCCGTTCTACGGATGAGGAAATAGGTTCAAAAAGTAAAATGGCCAAAGCTAGCGAATAGCAAAGATTGTGCTCGATTATGATGGGAACTTATTTAATTGACTTAAGGGATCACCCCTGGTGGCTCAGACAGTAAAGAATCTGCCTGCGGTGAAGGAGACTCAGGAGACCCAGGTTCACTCCCTGGGTTCGATCCCTGGGTTGGGCAGATCCTCTGGAGGAGGGTATGGCAACCAATTTCAGTATTCTTGCCTAGGAAATCCCATGGACCGAGGAGCCTGGCGGACTACAGTCCATGGAGTCACAACAAGTCGGACATGACTGAGTGACTAACATGATGGGAACACTAACAAACTACACTGGTGTGACTTCAGCATTTTTAGAAGTCCTAGATGTTTTGCATTTTAAATGTCACAATACAGTCTGAAGCAGAGTGGGAGATCTTATTTTGTGTTTATTTGAAGGACTGAGGAAACAGGGCAGAGAAAGGTGTGTGGCTTACGGGGTCACCTCTCCAGCTAGTGTCAGGGCTAGGACTCTAAGCTTCCGGCACCAAACCCTGCGGTCACTGCTGAACTTGGTAAATTCTTTCCTGAGAAAACAGATGTTGCTCCCAAAATATGCTTGCAGTTTCTGGGCCTGTGCAATCTTGAGCTCATCCTACTAGGATCAGGAGAATGAAGGATTGGTGGTGCTCAATCTCAGCTGCATGTAAAAGCCCTGGGGAGCTACTGATTTCACTGGTCGCGGCAAGGCCAGATGACTCCAAGGTACAGCCAGGGCTGAGGCCTGAGACAGACAGCTGCAGAGGGAGCTGCAATTAGCCAAAGAGGGGAAAGAATTTAGAAAAATATTATAAAGGCCTGGGCTAAATATTGCATGGTATTTTGCACCACTACTAAAGAAACTGGACACTGGTCTTCATGTTCTGCACAATTAGCATGTACATTAGTAATTATAATGACTTTCAAACTGTCATTAACTAATGTTTCAAGGTACAGTATCTACTTATAGCAAGGTTCATCTTTGAAAGTGAAAGTTGCTCAGTCGTGTCCAACTCTTTGTGACCCCATGGACTATACAGTTCATGGAATTCTCCAGGCCAAAAGACTGGAGTGCGTAGCCTTTCCCTTCTCCAGGGGACTTCCCAACGCAGGGACCAAACCCAGGTCCTCTGCCTTGCAGGCAGATTCTTTACCAGCTGAGCCACAGGGAAGCCCAGATGGTGGATATACATGTATATTTCACTGAATCTCCTTGATAATTTGAATTATTTGGGGGAAATTGTTGTTAGGTTAAATTGCATTGCTTTTACCCCTTAATAAAGCTAAAAACTTACTTGGGATTTAAAAAAGAAAAAAAAAAAAGAGGGGCAAGAATAACAAATGAAACAAGCCAAGTTATTTTCAAATTGACTCTAGCTCTATGCTTGACACTGTTCCAATGGTGAGAGACATGCTGGGAACGTCACCCAGTCTTTTACCCTCAGCCACACTGCCTTCCCTGACCACGTCTCAGCCAAGCTTAAGTCAGGGCTAGGACTCTAAGCTTCCGGCACCAAACCCTGCGGTCACTGCTGAACTTGGTAAATTCTTTCCTGAGAAAACAGATGTTGCTCCCAAAATATGCTTGCAGTTTCTGGGCCTGTGCAATCTTGAGCTCATCCTACTAGGATCAGGAGAATGAAGGATTGGTGGTGCTCAATCTCAGCTGCATGTAAAAGCCCTGGGGAGCTACTGATTTCACTGGTCGCGGCAAGGCCAGATGACTCCAAGGTACAGCCAGGGCTGAGGCCTGAGACAGACAGCTGCAGAGGGAGCTGCAATTAGCCAAAGAGGGGAAAGAATTTAGAAAAATATTATAAAGGCCTGGGCTAAATATTGCATGGTATTTTGCACCACTACTAAAGAAACTGGACACTGGTCTTCATGTTCTGCACAATTAGCATGTACATTAGTAATTATAATGACTTTCAAACTGTCATTAACTAATGTTTCAAGGTACAGTATCTACTTATAGCAAGGTTCATCTTTGAAAGTGAAAGTTGCTCAGTCGTGTCCAACTCTTTGTGACCCCATGGACTATACAGTTCATGGAATTCTCCAGGCCAGAAGACTGGAGTGCGTAGCCTTTCCCTTCTCCAGGGGACTTCCCAACGCAGGGACCAAACCCAGGTCCTCTGCCTTGCAGGCAGATTCTTTACCAGCTGAGCCACAGGGAAGCCCAGATGGTGGATATACATGTATATTTCACTGAATCTCCTTGATAATTTGAATTATTTGGGGGAAATTGTTGTTAGGTTAAATTGCATTGCTTTTACCCCTTAATAAAGCTAAAAACTTACTTGGGATTTAAAAAAGAAAAAAAAAAAAGAGGGGCAAGAATAACAAATGAAACAAGCCAAGTTATTTTCAAATTGACTCTAGCTCTATGCTTGACACTGTTCCAATGGTGAGAGACATGCTGGGAACGTCACCCAGTCTTTTACCCTCAGCCACACTGCCTTCCCTGACCACGTCTCAGCCAAGCTTAATAATAGCCTGTGTGTGAGTGAGTGTACTCCGTCACTCAGTCGTGTCCAACTCTTTGTGACCCTACGGGCTTACGGCCCATCAGGCTCCTCTGTTATGGGGTTTCCCAGGCAAGAAAACTGAAGCAGGTTGCCATTTCCTACTCCAGGGGATCTTCCTGAACCAGGGATCAAACCCGTGTCTCTTGCATCTCCTGCATTAGCAGGCAGACCTGGGAAGCCCTAGGAGTAAGGGCTATTTCTGCACAGCGACCAGAGACACAGTAGTGTTCGAAGCACCTTTCAGGGGATAAACTGCAGAGAAATAAGTTGCACAGGATGACATAGCTCGTAACTTGGAGTCACCCCAGGGCAATCCTGTTTGAAAGCCAACACTCGTACTACTGCCCAAAACACAATCTGCTTCCTGCTCCTTCCAGCCATTGCCCCAGGAGACAGTCAGGAGCCATCATTCATCCATTTGGCCAAACTTTTATTGCACAGCTACTATGTCCTTGGATGTACGTTTTGTGGTCCCTGACCATGTGGTCAGAGAAGGCAAATAAGAAAATACAAGAAACCCTGAGGTTACCTAGGCTCTGTACCAAAAATCTGTAAGAGGTATGGCTGAGGAGTTGGTAAAAGTTTTTTTAAAAAAAACTCAGTCCTAGCGAAGGTGTACACATACTCAATTGTATCTCACTTTGCAACCCCATGGACTGTAGCCCACCGAGCTCCACTGTGCATGGAATTTTAATGTAGCATAAATATTCTCCTGAATTATTTTTTTAATGTTTCCATTTGCATTGATTTTTGTTGTCGCACATTTAAATCCTTAGGCCAGAAATTTTGTGCATGGTCTAACGTGCTTTCTTCTACCGAGTATTAAAGTCTTTTCAGCATCTACCGATACCAATTTTTCCCCTTCAATTTATTGATGTATTAAGTTTTCTTTCAGATTTGAATATCAAACTGCTCTTGCTTGCCTGGAATATATTCATAAATGAAGTTGGATTTGTATGATTTGATTAGTTGGTTTCTTATTCTTATAAGATTTCTTTTGGTGGCT